CCCTAGATTTCACGTGGCGTGTCGAATTCCGAGAAGAAGATTGGCGAGTGAGGTGGTTAAAACAAAAAAAAAAAAGAGAAAAGGAGAAAAAAAAAAGATGTGAAAGATGAGATTCCATGGTAGTTTGGTAGGGCTTAGGGGAAAGATAATAATGCAGGCAAGTTGTGGTGTGGGAGGGTGCATACTTAGTACCGTGGTCCCTCAATGCACCCACCCCTTAGCAACCTTTTCCCTTCGCCTTTCTGTTTTAACAGTCTGGAATTTTTGGATCCGTAACAGTCCCATTATTCCATTCCAAATTTATTTTGTTTCTCTGTTTCTTAAAAAAAAAATAGAATTAGAGATGGTTTTTTTTAATACATGTTGGGGGAGATTCGAATTCACAGTCTTTTATTGAAGGTATATGTCAATTACCGTTGAGCTATGCTCGCTTGGCAAAAAAAAAAAAAATTTAGAGATGTTGTTTTGTACCTCTAACTTTTATAATATATGTCTTAATCGGTTGATCCCCTCATTTTCTTCTTAATTGTACTGATAAATTTAATTTTACTTTTTTATTTTAAAAAATTGAGTTTATATAACAATAAATATTTTATATCAACATCAGGAATGAGCCAACTAGGAATGATCGACTAGTCTACTGGCTGATATGGTCAGCCTAGGACCATTGTCAATATAGGCCAATATGTTGAGGGTAGGGATAAAAGTGGCCCAAAGACGCCTCCGAATTAGAAGATTTCCTAGGTCATGGATCGTCCAAACTGTCAAATCTAAATTCAATTCCAAGAGAGAAGATATTCTATTGACCATAAGTTTTCTATTCTATAAATAAAAGGTAAATATTCAAGCTACGCTACAAAAGTTACCTTCAAGTACTAAGAGTGTGTGGCTGGCTCCTCACAATATGTAGTTTTCTGTTTTGTAGGTTTTATTAAATCATTTTAGCTTAGAAAATTAGTGCGAATTTCGTACTTACATCAAGCTAAATTTACACCTGAATATTAAAAAAAATTTGAAAATCATAATCAATTTGTAAAAATAATGTATTTATTTTTTCAAATTTTTAAAATTAGACTTATTTACTCACAATTTTTTTTAATTTCATACTCTTAAAAGGAAAATTTTAAAATCACAGTCAATTTTTTTTTTCTTAACGTTTTATTAAATTTGGTTAAGATTTAAGAAACGTGTGGATTATAGGAGTTTTGATTTTGAACAGCAATGAAATTTAATATTTGGATTAAATCCCTATTAGCCGTTAAATTTTGAAAATTGTATTTTTGATAACGCAAAGCGGCCCTACTCGCCACCATTATTTAATTTCAATCTTCATGATAAGATCTTCCTTTTCCCACTAAATGAATTTAACAATGCCATCGGTTTTCAAATTTCAACACATCCATTTAAAATCATTATTTCATTTTTCTTCCAATCCATATTGAATCCTTTACATTAATTTGTCTTTTTATAATAAATAAAATAAAATAAAGTAACATTTTACTTGATTTGATGTTTATTTTGAAACAAAGAAGTAAAATGTAATTTTTATCTTCTAGTACTAAACTAAAACTAATACTTGTAGAATTGGAAATCCGAACACACGATATTTTAGTCATAATATGTATCAATACAATCATTCATACATATCATTACAAATGTGAGAGTTTAATTTTATTTATTCAATAACATATGTGGATTATGATGTAAATTTCCAACTTAATATATATATATATATATATATATATATATATCATTTATCACTGAATTAAATTCGTATTTACGTCTAATTATAGAGCTTGGTATACATTGTTTTTTTCCTATGATAGCTAATCAAAAGCGTAATAAATGTCTGGTCTCGTGCGCGCCCTCTTACCTGATTCAAGTGGAAGTGAATGCAGCAGAGATAGTAAAGCTATTGCGTGGTGAGGCCGAAGACCTCACCGAAATTTTTTTGCTTATTCATTGGCAAAAAGAGCGATTGAACGGATGGAAAGCGAGAGATGGATGTTGTGTTTTCCAAGTTGGCTGACACAGTTGGCCAATAAAGACTAGCATTACTTTTCAAAAGAAGAAAAAAAATCAAGCGTAATACAGGATTATTTTAGTAAATTTTCAATTGAATTTTAAATCCTAATAATTGGAACCAGAAAATCTAACTCTAGTATACTTGTATGAAAAGATTTATTTAAAAGAAATGCGACATGTTTAAACAAAAGTACACAAAATTGCATAATTTCCTAGAAAGTGAGTGAAATGAGATGATATTCTTACAATAGTAATCATTTCCACAAAGAGTGGCTGAAATACAACCAAAGTCCAATCACAGTCAAATTATTAATAGCGCAAAAAATCAACACTTCAAAAATCTAAATATATATAGTCAAATTTGGTTAATATATATTTTGATACAATATTTGAAATTAAACTTAGAATGACAACAAATACATCAATCTAAATTGATATATTAAATGTTAATTCGAGTATAGTCAAGTGTACGACATACTTTGTTACCATTCAAAATTGATGCTTTAATCTTGCTGACTTGAAAGAATCAACATTATAACTATACAAAAGCATATATATAGAGCTTTGTCAACTTTGGATATCTCTCATCACTTTTTTTTTTCTTCTTCTCGTCTTATCAAAGAAAATAAATAATAAGTGCTGTAACATTTTAATACTTATTAATAATTAATTATGGATTTATTTTCATTAACGTGATATAGTCCAAAGTAATTTATATTTCGACCTTAGTTATTTTATTAATGACATTTGATTCGATTTTCCAGAACTACAGTAATAAGAATAGGGAAAAAAAATTATTATTTTTAGGTCGGGGAGAGAAAAGTACTACGATGCTGACATAATTTTAAATTAGAAAAAAAGAAAAAGAAACAAGCGTGACATATTTTAAATTCGAAATAATCTTCTATCGATTGAATTTTAGTCTGTTGAATTGTACATCACCATAGTCTATAGAATAGGAAATAATATTATTATACCAAGCTGATCAATTACGAAATTGATTAAAAAAAGAAATCAAATTCCTCTATGATAATTAAATGCATTATTGGCACTAATCAAACTCCTTAATCATGGGTGGGTTTGACCAAAATGGCCTGGAAATTGGGAAATTGTCTTTCCTGACTAGATTTTTCTTTTTTTCCTTTTTCTCTCCAACGTGTTTTAGAAATTATGTTGAAATCCTTTTTCCAAAAAGAAAAAGTCAAAGAAATGGTTGGAGTTTGGGCTTAGTTGATCAATACGGCCCATGTTGAAGTGGGCTTTTAAGACTGGGTGGACCCTGTTTATTACAGTGGCTAAAGCCCAAAGGAAAGTAAATAGAGAAATTATGGTAAATAGATAAAATAATTAAAGTTATTATAATAATAGTTGAGTGTGTATTTAAATGGAGTAAAATCAATTATTAACGATGGTGAGCCCTGTCAAAGCGAGCATAGCCTCTCCCACATGTTGTATATATAAAAAAAAAAATGATGGTGAGCCATAATTTAGAAAATTGTTTATAAAGTTAAATAAATCATTTACTAAGGGGACATAATCGCAATGGTACGCTTAACGGTAATTGACATATATTTTCAATCAAGACTTTTGTTTCCCTAAGGCGGCATATTTGTTTTTCCTTTATACTTTACTCAGATTCGTTTTTATGCTCTTAGCTATTCGGTTGATTCATCTCCAAACAAGAACCATCGATATACAAATATCATTAACCATAAAATTTAGTGAGTAACGCCAAATCTTTCTACGGATTGCTTGTTGAAAATGATTTTTAGTGACATTATTCGTGTAATGTCGCTAAAAGAGCGTCGCAAAAACTCCTTTTTCTTGTAGTGGTAGTTCATATTTGGTTACTCGAAGCTCACATGGAGGCACTTAAGTCAAGGTATATGAATCTGGTGACTATTGGTATGTTTAATGGTAAATTTCGCCCTAAAATCCACCTTCAATTTTTTTCACCCATTTGCTCTCCCAAGTTCCTAAAAATTTATCGTATAACCTACCTCGATTTTAAATTCAGTCCAACTATAGACAACTAAACTTAACAAAATTGGATGGAATTAATAACAAATACTTATTTGATATTTCAAAATTGAGATACAATTTTGAGAGCTGAAGAACTAAAATTGTAACGAAATAACATTGTTGGAATCTAAAATGGCAAATAGCAAATAGCAAAGACCGAGGTTGATTCCGACGTTACATTTGTGGCTAAAGGCGGTGTGGTTGGTTGGTGTTCACGTGTTGGATCGTACGATGCTTAGGATTTTATCCGCTGCGATCACGATCACATCATCAACGGCTCTGATTCGCCGTACTTACGATCTCCACGTGGATATAACCGTCGAGGTGGTTGGCCTGTCACCGCACGATTTCATCAGCCGTATTGATTTGAAACGCTCGCGTCACACACGATCACTCTCTATGTCCTTTTAGGGCACACAATTTCGTCTCACTTTGATTCCAGATCTTCCCATCCCATATTCCAAACCAGACATCCATTTTTCCTTCCTTTTTTTTCCTCTCTTTTCAATAATTATTTTTAACCCTTTTTACATTTATTTTATTTTCATTCCTCATCTTTTAAATTTGTCTTATTTTCGAATCTTCATACCCATTGATGATAGTCTAAGGGTATGGTTCCAATTTTTTGTCCATTAAATTTTGAAAATGTTTCTCGGGAGGTTTTGAACTTTAAAGAATTTTACTACATAGTATCTAATAACTTTGGACTTGTTTTATACAACCTATGTAACTCTAATACACACCAACTTCAAAATATTATTACGCATATTCAAAATGATGTTATCCACGAGTTAAACAATTATTGAATGAATAATTATAATAATGTATGTCAATTACTGCTGAACTATGTTCGTTTTGACAATATTAGTCAAAATCTAATGACTTAGTACTCGTCAATCAGCACCTAAAATATTAGTAAGACGGTAAATAAAATGAAAGTGAATTACACCCATGCCTAGTCCTTTTCCAACCTTGTGGTAGTGTGTATAATTAAACATTTGGGTACATACAAATTACAATTCTGCAAAGTATAAATTTGAAGAGCATGATCTGTCACATTGGATGGTATATTTTGCATTTATAATCTTTGTCTTCTCTATCACATGCTCTGCTCTGTTTTCCTCTCCAACAGAAATCCCCACTCTGCAACACCAAAATTCAATCTCTGAATGTTTCTCCAAAATCCCAATTCCACAGAATGAATCTCAACCTCAGCCACCAATCTCCGCCGCCGGATTCCCTCACATTTCCGGCCAAATTCTCCCAATTCGGCGACGCCGATCAGTTCTCCTGGTTCGACGACGCCACCATTCTCGACATCGATTACTTCGTCAAAACTCTCTCCGGCATCAAAGCCAACGGCGTCCGCACCGATTTAATCGGCTCTCTAATCGCGCATTACGCCGCCAAATGGCTCCCCGATCTCTCCGACGAGCCCCGCCTCGCGAATTTCCACGAGTCCCCCGAGAGCGTGACGAATTCGTGGATGAAGAAGCGGTTCTTCGTGGAGACGCTGGTCGGAGTTCTGCCGCCGGAGAGGGATTTGATTCCCTGCAATTTTCTGCTGCGGCTGCTCCGGACGGCCAGTATGGTCGGTGTGGAGCCGCCGTACAAGGCGGAGCTGGAGAAGAGGATTACGTGGCAGTTGGACCAGGCCTCGCTCAAGGAGCTCATGATTCCTTCCTTTAGCCACACCTGTGGGACGGTGCTCGACGTGGAGCTGGTGATTAGGCTCGTCAAGAGGTTCGTCAGCCTTGACGACGGCGTCCGCAGTGGTGCTGCGCTCGTCAAAGTAGCTAAGCTCGTCGATTCTTACCTCCCAGAGGCCGCGATGGATTCGAATTTGGGATTGTCGGAGTTCGTTGAGCTCGCCGGAGCCCTCCCCAGCCACGCCCGAGCCACTGACGATGGCCTCTATCGAGCCATCGACACTTATCTCAAAGTAAGAAATATTCAACTTTGCACTAATTGACTACTAATACAAAGAGAAAAATAAGATAAATTTTGACAAAATATCAATGAAAAATATTTTCCCCCTTGGGATAAAATCTTGTCCACATAGTTATTAAAAAATTCACGCCTAATTAATTTTTGTAGAAGGTCTATATTTTTACACTTCTCTTTTTTAATTGTCAAATATTTAATGATAAGTAAGCACAGGATTGTTTCTTACTCTTGAGTAGTCAGGTATTTTTCAAATATCAATTACCTTGAAATTTTTATACGTAGTAGTGTATTTATCATTCATCTTTTTCTGACAGCTAATAAAAAGTTTAAGATGCTGTTGGATGAATGTCTAAATATTCTTAAGATAGAACCGTTGGCTCTGTGAAATGGGGGGTAAAAAGGGAAAAAAAGAGAAGAAAAAGAAACCTTATCTACAGAGAAAAAAGGTTAGAGATTCTCTGGTAGGGATGGAGGGGTGTGTGGGTTCCTCCAATTGGCAATTTCTCTTGTCTTATTACTGTGGAGTGTGGGAACAGTTGGTAAAAAGTTATCATTTTTTTTTTCTTTTTGTAACATCTTTTCACTCATGTGGCCTAAGCTTATATTCTTTTGTCTATTTTTTGAATGGGACCCAATTGATTAGGTAGGGAAAGATTTGTATTGTCGTTGTTATGAGTTTCTCACGGATAGAAGAGAGACGAATCTAAAATAGAGTTGTTTTTTTTCTCGAAAGAACGAAGGATAAACAACTTACTAATAAATAGGTTTTTTCTTACTTACATACTCACTACTAAGATAAACTTATATTATTTAGTCGTAAATTTATATTCTTTAATCTATTTTTGAAATGGGTCGGGTACTATTGAGTAGGTAGCGAATTGTTCGTTATTGAATCTTTGACAAGTAGGAGAAAAGAAAATAGAAGAGAGTTTTTCATTTTCTAAAAGGAAGCATAAAAATTAAGCTTACGAGTAAGTAGGTTTTTTCTTACTTGCTCACTATACAAAAAATTGACAACAATTTATTCTATTTTTCTCTCTTTCTTTGTATATTAATCTCTTCATTATCATTTTTTAATAGTGATGAGTCGATAAACATTTATGTTTATAAAAAATAATACGACAAAGTTTTGGATTATTTGCTAATCATGCTCTCTCTTTTCTTTTTGTTTTTAATAATGGTATTTTAATAAAATTTTTAAACAAAATAATTTTCATTTTTTGTTTTACTTTTTTTTTTCAGATTAATAGAAACATAAATAAAATTGTTATTTCATTATCTTTACTTATAAAATGCATTATAATATCTATATAACAAAATTAAGTAACATAATATTTTTTAATGTTCTTCACAAAAGAAAAAAAGATGTGTTTTTAAGCAGGGTGCGTTCATTTTTTTTTTTAAATTTAACATTCTGGAGAATAATAAAGTAGCTAAAACTATATTATTTTTCAATAAAATATGCAAAAACACGTAATAAGTTCAGGAATACGCTAACTGTTGATGATTCTATATTGAAAAGATAAGAAACCTAACTGAATTCATATAGATTACTACCTTCGTTATCAATTAATTTTGGGACGAAATCTTAATTGATTTGACATCTTTTAAATTTCAAAATGCAGGCACATCCCAGCCTATCAAAGCAAGAAAGAAAGAGTCTTTGCAAACTAATGGACAGCCGGAAGCTTTCGACGGAGGCGTCTCTCCACGCCGCACAAAACGACCGCCTCCCAGTCCGAGCCGTGATCCAAGTCCTCTTCTCGGAGCATACCAAACTAAATTACCGACATCTGGATTGGAGTGGCTCCATCGGCGGAGCTCGGAGCCCCTCGGCAGGCCTCGACCACCTCCCGACCCGATGCCAGTCGAAGCGAGAGATAACAGCCCAACAAATGGAGATCAAGAGGCTCAAGGATACCGTGATTAGGCTCCAGAACCAGTGCAATATAATGCAGGCTCAAATGGAGAGGCTGTCGGAGAAGAAGAGGGGGTTTTTCAAGTGGAGGAAATTCGGCGTACCGGGGTTTAAGCACGGCGGAGATTCGGGGAAGATCGAAGACGGTGGAGAGGCGGAGGAGGAGGGCTTTGGGCGGCAGACGCCGGTGGACATAAAAACAAAGTTGGTTAAACGTAGGACGCCCACCAAGACATGGAGGAAATCTGTGTCTTGAGAGGTTTTTGTAATAATGTAACGTTAGTTGTCTTTGAGTGTTTATGCATTATTATTCTTAAAATTACTTCATAGTTCATTCTATATTATACTAATATATAATTTCACTTTCTTTACTTTATTTAATTATTAACCATTTAATACTCCATTTGGACATGGGATAATGGAAGTTGGACTTTGAATTCATTGCTTCATTTATATATGTAGTTATATTTGTTGTGGGATTGTTTTTTAATCTTATAAACGAAGCAAATTTGGGAAAAAAAATTTAATCATTTAGGGATAAATTTTTTCTGATTAAAAAATATATTTGGTTCTAGTTTCGTTAAAGTAAATAAATTTAATCCATAAATTTTAGTTGGTAATGATTTAGTCATTGTACTGAATTTGTAACAATTTAGTCATGTGAAAAATCTCATCAAAATTAAGTGTAAAACATTTTTATTATATAATAAATGATTTAGTCTTTATAATTTAGAAATACAGTTAACCCTTAGTAGTTTATTGATCTACATATATAATAAATTTCACAAAAAAAAAAATTCACGGTAGATACTAAATTATTACAAATTTAACTATATAGACTAAATTGTTACCTAATAAAATCTAGAGACTAAATTATTACCACATAGTCTAAATTGTAACAAATTAAAATTTAATAAATAAATCATTACTCTGGTTAAATTACAGGACCAAAAAGTATTAACCATTAATTATTTTAATTTAGTCTTACTTCGACAAAAGATATTTCTAATTTAAAATAGCTATAATATGGTGTGACAAAAGATATTTCTCAATTTTATGAAGTTTTCTATTTTATACCTGTTCCGTAATCAAGAACAATTCTCTCTCTTTAGTTATCAGAGGTTCAAAATTGGGAGTGGAAGTACCGTTAATGCGTTATCCAGTTGATGGTGCAACCAATTTCTTTGTTTCCCTCTCTTTTAACTGTTAAACCTCTCTCAAAACCCCGGAGAACAATGCCCTGTATCTCCGGCCATGGCGGTTTTTGCTAAAACCTCTCATCTTCTTACCTATCTCGACCGCTCCAATCCTCAAATCTCCAACAATCACTACCCCAAAGCCTTATCTTTCTCCAAAAACCTGCTGACCCACACCAAGACAGCAAGAAAAACCCAAGAAATCTCAGTCCTGGGCACCGCGCTCTCTAATTCGACCATCAACCAAACCCACAACTTAGAATTACAAGAGCTATGCCTTCGTGGGAACCTAGAACAAGCCATGAAACGCTTGGAATCGATGCAAGAGCTCCGGATTGAGGTGGACGAAGAGGCTTATGTTGCTTTATTGAGGCTGTGCGAGTGGAGAAGGGCGCCCGATGAAGGGTCTCGCGTCTACGCACTAGTGTCGAGTTCGAAATCCCGTTTGAGAGTTCGGCTTGGTAATGCCCTGTTGAGCATGTTCGTGAGGTTCGGGAATTTGGTTGACGCCTGGTATGTGTTTGGTAAAATGTCTGAAAGGGATGTGTTTTCCTGGAATGTGTTGGTGGGTGGGTATTCTAAAGCGGGGTGTTTTGACGAGGCTTTGAATTTGTATCATAGAATGTTGTGGGCTGAAATTAGGCCTGATGTATATACTTTTCCCTCTGTTTTAAGAACTTGTGGTGGTGTTTCTGATATAGCTAGAGGCAAGGAGATTCATGGCCATGTCATAAGATTTGGATTTGAGTCGGATGTGGATGTGGGTAATGCTTTAATCACCATGTATGTGAAATGTGGTGACATAAGTCATGCCAGGAAACTGTTTGATAGAATGCCAAAGAGAGATCGGATTTCGTGGAATGCAATGATTTCGGGGTACTTCGAAAATGGAGAGGGATTGGAAGGCTTGAGATTGTTTTTCTTGATGCGGGAACTTTCCGTTGATCCAGATTTGATAACTATGACTAGTGTAGCATCCGCGTGTGAGCTTCTTGGTAACGAGAGATTAGGTAGAGAAATTCATGGATATGTAGTTAGATCAGAGTTTGGGGGTGATGTCTCGGTGAACAATTCTTTGATTCAGATGTATTCGAGTCTTGGGAATTTGGAGGAAGCAGAGAAAGTATTTTCTCGAATGGAATCGAAAGACATCGTATCGTGGACGGCAATGATAGCAAGCTACGACAGTCACAAGCTGCCTTGTAGGGCTGTGGAAACTTATAAAATGATGGAGTTAGAGGGCATACTGCCGGATGAGATTACTTTAGTTAGTGTATTATCTGCTTGTGCTTGTCTAGGCCATTTGGATTTGGGTATTAGGCTTCATGAGATTGCCATCAAGACTGGCCTTATATCCCATGTCATGGTCGCAAACTCTCTCATTGATATGTACTCAAAGTGTAAATGCGTTGACAAGGCCTTAGAAGTATTTCGCAATATCTCGGGAAAGAATGTCATATCTTGGACTTCACTTATCCTTGGGCTACGAATTAATAATAGAAGTTTCGAGGCTCTGTTATTCTTCCGCCAGATGAAGGAATCAATGGAACCAAATTCTGTAACACTGATTTCGGTCTTATCGGCATGTGCTAGAATAGGAGCTTTAATGCGTGGAAAAGAGATTCATGCTCATGCTCTACGTACTGGTGTTGGGTTTGATGGTTTTTTACCTAATGCGATCCTAGATATGTATGTAAGATGTGGAAGGGAAGTGCCCGCATTGAACCAATTTAACTCTCAAAAGAAGGACGTTACAGCATGGAATATACTGCTTACGGGTTATGCCGAGAAGGGGCAAGGTAAGCTTGCTGTCGAGCTATTTGATAAGATGTTAGAGTCAGAGGTAAATCCAGACGAGATTACCTTTATTTCGCTATTATGTGCCTGCAGCAGGTCAGGTATGGTTGTTGAAGGTTTGGAGTACTTCAATGTAATGAAAAACAAGTATAATCTGACTCCTAATCTGAAACATCACGCATGCATTGTTGATCTACTTGGTCGTGCTGGGCGATTAGACGATGCTTATGACTTTATCCAGGACATGTCACTTAAGCCAGATGCAGCTATATGGGGAGCCTTGCTAAATGCTTGCAGGATTCACAGAAATGTCGAGCTTGGAGAACTTGCAGTGACACGTATATTCGAAAAGGACAATAAAAGTGTTGGTTATTATATTCTTCTCTGCAATCTCTATGCTGAATGCGGTAACTGGGACAAGGTTTCGAAAGTTAGATCACTAATGAGAGAGAGAGGACTATCTGTAGATCCTGGTTGCAGCTGGGTGGAAATAAAGGGAAAAGTTCATGCTTTCCTCAGTGGTGATAATTTTCACGCTGACTCGAAAGAAATAGATGGGGTTCTGGAAGGATTCTATACCAAGATGAAGGAAACCTGTTTCAGCGATTTGAAGAGCAGTTTCTTGAGTGAGGTTGAAACTTCCAGAGCCGACATTTTTTGTGGGCATAGTGAAAGGCAGGCCATTGCGTTCGGGCTGATCAATACCGCCCCAGGGACACCTATCTGGGTGACAAAGAATCTGTACATGTGCCATAGCTGCCACAACTTTGTAAAATTCATCTCGACAGTCGTACGTAGAGAAATATCGGTAAGGGATGTCGAAGAGTATCACCATTTCAAGGATGGAGTCTGCTCATGTGGGGACGAAGGTTATTGGGGAAAACCTGGTAAAGGATGAAAGGACTTTCAGGATTTCTACATAATCTTAATCCACCATGGCCACGACATCTGAACAGCGGAAGATCACTTCCCGGTTGCTCGGACGTTGTACGAATGATCGAAGACGATAGAAGACAGTGAAGAAATTCTAGTGAAATCAACGAAATATATGAGAACTTAACTGCCATGCAAAACTTGAGGAAGCCAGTTTGATTTTCTCTGATTTCCAGATGGCACCTCCTTTACTGTGATGGGTGAAGAAGTGGCCATGCCTGGTGCTGCTGCCATGGAACTTTGTTGAGGTAAGCTTTCTAAAGGAAAATTTTTAATTGAATCCATGTTAACTTTAATATATGAAATTCCACCATTAGAGGAAAATAACACATTTGGAGTATTCATGTCAATATTTGATAAATTACAGAATAAAAATACTCAATTACCAATTCTTTCCCCTTTTCTTAGGGGATGTTTACAGAATGGAAACTAGTCCGGATGTGTTGTAAATAAAAATTTTATAATATGATAGATGAATAAATTTAAGGTTTCTAAGTATGTTATTTTACCAAATACCATAAAATTTAATATGTTATTTAGCATTTAATTTTCAAAAATTAAAGAAAGAAAGAAAAGAGTAGCTGAGGAGAATCTTGAACCCACTTCGATTCTTCGAAATCAAGTATCGGTGAGGGAGGGAGGGGATGAAGATCGAACCTCCCACCGGGACGAGGGACGAGGAAGGCATCTTCGGCCATGCCCATTGGCATTCTTAGGCTCAAAGAGTAGACTTTTGCAACTAGGGGCTAAGTAATTGAGTTTATATTTGGTAAGTTAGTTTGTGTATGAAAAATAAGAGTTGGTCAAAGTCTACAAACTACATTCATCCAAACTTATAAATCATATCTTTTATACTATATACCAACTTTTACAAACATAACACAATAAAAACAATTATAAGATTTACAATAATATACAATTTTCTTATTCTAAATATATATTAAAATGTGGTGTAAAATAAAATGATTTAATTCACTATTATAGAGTATTTTTCAAATCTATCAAAGTTTGTATAATTATTGAATGAAAGAATAGCAATTATTATTATTATTATTATTATTTTAACTATTACATGCGACAAATAAAAATGAAATCAAAATATTTATATGATAGACCAAAAAACCCAAAAACACTAACCATTAACAAAAAGGAGAAAAACTGCTAAAGTAATTAAGAGCCAATTTATATTTCAAAAAATCTGAATGGGCCACGTGTCGATAATGTAGACTCAACCTCAATCCAGTGACTGAGCATGACGTCACGATTGAATATTTAAAAATGAAATGCCTGAAAAAAGAAAGTATTTAAAAATAAAATATCCTTCTCTGATTCTTGTGTGGAAATTTATAAATAGCTAATTGATGGATTAATCTAATCGTGGGAACTTATATATTAAACTTAGCAATTTTACAACAATATGTATGGTGAATATTTGAACCCGATAAAAAGAAATATAGTTTAACAGTTTAGCTATGCAGTTTTACAAATTTTGATAGATCATTGCTAGATTTAAATTTGTAAACTTCCAACATTAATTAGTATTTAAAAAAGAAAAATAAAAAAACAAATACAATTCTCTTTCTTTTAGTCTTGAAAACATCATTTGTGGAATCATATATTCCCTAGTTGGCGGCAACAGAATTGGAGTAAACATTTTTTGAATTAAGATAAAAGAAACGGATCAGATCATGAGAACGAAAAAATCCAAGCTTGTGGAAATGTCCTAACAGATCAAAATGTTGCTAACTTTAGAACTGGAACTCGCCACAAAAGTTTGAAGGAATCCACACATGATGGAGAGTTACTTCCAAGGAATCCAAGCATCAAAAGAAGATAATGGTTGAGCATGGATAGGCTAAGAATATTCTCAATAACTCATCCAACCAAACTATCCACGAAGTCGAAGCTTTACCACATTTATTTGAGGGCACTCGCACCAAGGCAGAACTTGAGGGACATCAAGGTTTTTTATGAGACTCCAAACCTTTGTCAATAGGGCTACCCCTTGGGGGCCACTTTTCCCGTTTTATACACAAGAAATCAGCATCTTGTGGGACCTTGCTCGGTTCCATGGTTCTCTTTGGACCTCGGTGTCTAGAGTATTTTGTAGTTATTCCTTAGGGTTGATCTTGCTTGAATGGAGACCGTTTTTTTTAGTTTTGACTCTTTTTGTTGGACCGATTTTTTTATGCCCATATGTAGTCTTTCATTTTTCTCCATGAAAGCTGACTTTACGCCCATTACAAACAGCCTAATGTCAGCAAAGGCAACCAGTCACCCAGAAGGTAAAACGATGACATGGTTTGCTTGAGCAACTAATGAAAGAATATTTCTTCTAGAGGCAATCAATGTTGATTTCATTTTCTTTATTTCAGCCGAAGCTGAGAGCTCCACAAAACAGGATAAGATAGATAATCATGTAAACTCGTGAGATTTCTTGCCGAGAATGATTACAACACACCATAAGAAAGCTTGTTATTGCTTCTTAAGAGCGTTCATTTTGTCTCTAAGATAATATAGCTTCGCCCTCCGCACCTTCTTCTTGTCTAACACCTTAATCTCTTTTTATGTTTGGTGAGTATCTGTCATTCATCAATCACTTGATTAGTCATGTGCAAAGAGGTAATTAGATAAGGTCACATTTTTCTCAAAAACAATCAAACTGTATTTATATTATACATAAGGTCACATTCGGAAGGATAAGGGTAAGGAGGTAATTAGATATTGAACCGTTGTAGGCCATAACGGCCAAGAGAGAAAAAGGTGGGCTAGGAGCAATGTAGGAGGCCATCATGAGGTTTGAACTCATTCCCTCTTAATTAACCCTAGTCCCTTTAGACCAATGAGCCACCCATGATGGTTTGTCCATAAGTAGTATGTTAGGAATGATCTTAGGAGTAATTAAGGATATTATTACGGTATTGAGGGTACCTTAGTAATTAGATAGAGAAGTTGTTAGGAAGAGTTGTTATAAATAGAATGACGGTGTAAGAATGAAGGTATCCAATTTTGTAGTGGTTTAGGCTTGAGTGATATCTCAAGAGGGAGGGTCCAAGTACCTCTAATACTTGGGTTATATTGTGATCCTTTTATGTTTTATCTTTCAATATATTTTAGTAATTCCTTTGTATGGTAATTATATTTCTTTCCTAATGCTTTTTCTTATAAGATGTTACATGAATCTCTTTTGTATTAGATTCTTCCACCAAAAAGGAAAATGAAAAAGATTAGCTACATAATCTACAAGACAGAAAAGAATACCCTATGACATGTGAACGCAAAAATTGATAGTTAGAGCTTAGCATAACCTCATTACATTCATTAATGTAAGAGGGCATGAGTAGAACAAAGACAAAGAACATGCTTCTTCATCAGTGAGGTGAGCAGGGACAAAGACAATGAAGTTAGGAATGAGTAGAACAAAGACAAAGAACACGCATGTTCGACCATAAAACGTACACTAGCCAATCAGGTGTTGGTCAAGACCATGTCATATTCTTGTGTCCTAGACTCCTATTGCTTATGAAGTTAGAGATGAAGGAACCACTGAAAGACCCATATGGATTTCCAAAAAGACGAGCAATAGCAAAACCATTTTCCATCAACATTGGCGCCGAGCAGCTACAGCCAACATCTCCATTAACAGGGTATCCTCTAGTCGATTTGAAATGAGCATCTGGACTTTTCCTTCGTACCAATTGATTAATTCTACGGAAACTTTGCATTTCCGGTCTAGATTTAAAACTGCATAACCGAAACAAAATTCATGAGCGTGGAGGTGGAGTAATAGAACGCAATATCCATAGAATTGTTACACAACAAGAAGGGATGTGATAGTAAAGCAGTGAATAGGTAATGCAACTCAAATATACATATTGCACCCATCAATATCGCTGTCAACGTCCAGCAGATCACTAAAAACCACAAAATCCCAATAGCTAAACCAATAAAAAGGAAAAAAAATTTCTAAATTCCACTCACCGATCAGGGAGAGCTACTGTAGGGGAACTGGATTTCCCCTTTCTACTTGTTGTCTTTATAAAATTATCAAAATATCTTTTATTTATTTTAAGTAAAATTATATCCAACCTCTTCTCTCAATTCTTACGATTTTTTTTAGATTTTTTTAATTTGAATCTAATATGGATTAATTTAGGAATCAATTACTTAACAAACGAAATCTACACAAAACAAATCTGTAGATTAAATCCTCCAATAACTATATTATGGTGAAATTTTTTTTTGCATGATCAAATAATAAATGCATAACATCTGTCCGGATTTAATTACAAAAAAAAATTAAGATTTCATAGATGTCGGGCTAATATTGCATTAAATGCCCGAGATTTAAGGAGGATAATTCAAAAAACAAAAAAAACTGAAATTTGCGGATCCCGGGATTGAAGAATCCGGTCCCGGTCCGGGCCTGAAGAATCTCAGTCCGGGATTGCAGAATCCTGGACCGAATAGTAACCCGGACCAGGATTCTTCAAGCCTGAACCGGGATTCTTCAAGCCCGGTCCGAGATCCGCAAATTTCAGTTTTTCTTTTGGCATTCTCTCTCCTCTTAGTCGTATTGTTATCAATTAAATCTCAGGCATTTAATGCAATATTGACCCGAGATTTTTGTAATCTTGACTTTTTTATAATTAAATTCGCACAAATCTTATGTAATTATGTATGTTTTTTATTTTTTCCATATTAAACTTTTAATTTACTATTTGAGTTAGATATTTTTCTTAAAAATTAGATTTTTTAGGGTTGTAATTAATTATTGTGAGAGATGATTGATTTTGAAACATGAGGGTACTACGATAATTTCACATTTAAAAATTATGAAATTATTAATAAATAAGGAAGAATGAGGTCATAGATTATTTTATTTTATTTTTTATTTTTTCAGAATGGGGTCAGTGAATTATGGGAAGGGTCAAAATTCCAGATTTTCCTACTGCCGTCGCTGATAAGAAATCTTAAAGCTAAAAGCCCTAAATCAGGAAACTGAGAGGTTTTTTTAGTTGGACCAACTTTCAGATTCGGTTCGGTTCAGTTGGATCGGTGAACCGACAAGTTTTTTTGAGTACAACATGTGGGTGTGGGAGATCGAATACGTCAATTACAAATTACTTTTACTTTTTAGAATAAGTTTACCATCTGAACTAACCCAACGCCTCTAGTACAAACTTAACTAGTAAGTCAAATACCACTTTTATAAATAAATATTTGGGCATGTTTGGGAATTGTTTTAGCCAAATAATTTTTTTTGTTCTAGAAATAAAGCAGAAGAGATTTAATGACATGCGAATGCGGTTGAAATGTAAAACAATAATTATTTTAAAAATAATTTTCTATTAAATTTTTTGACAAAAGAAAAAATAGGGATCAAGTTCATAACTTCTTGATTTGAGATATATGTCAATTACCGTGAGCTGAGCTATGCTTGTTTTAACGTCTAATGTGTATATTTATAAATGAAAGTGATTTGGCATTTGTTTAAAAAAAATAAAGAAATTGATTTGCTTTATACATACAAAAGTGGCTTCCAAACATATCTTAAGAGTTGGTTACTACAAACTACATATATTAATCGTCAAAGCGAGTATAGTTCAACGATAATGGGCATATATCTCTAATCTCGTGAGTTCGATCCCCCATCCCCACATGTTATACTAAAAAAACTACATATATTAATCCAAAATTTCAAAATGGTTGTTGGTTTAAATTTCAAATTTATTTTTCTATTTCACCTTATTTTTATACTTTTAGAGTTTTGAGGATTTTTCTTTAATAAAATTTTTGTCACTCTCTACCTTTATTTTTTTTCAATTTTGTTTATTTCCTAATTTTTTTTTCTAAATTTTTTCTAATCTCCCTCTAAAATTTTAGATTTCTTTTCTAAGTTTATTTATGTATCTAAAATTTTTGTCTCTCACCCCTTAAAATTTTTGTTCCTCTATAATTTTTCTCCCTCAAAAAAATTTCTCAACTTGAAAAATTATTTGAAAAAGTATATAATCAAACATTAAAATAATTACATAAAGTTACTTTCTTAAAATCAATTCCTTTTACTTAATCACTATTTACAAAATCATTTCCAAACAGGCACTTAGAAGTTAGTTAAGTCTACATATTATATTAATCCAAACTTATAAATCAAGTCTACAAACTACATTAATTCAAACTTATAAATCATATCTTTTATACTATATACCAACTTCTATAAATCATAAATTTACAAACATAACACAACTTAAATAGATGTAAGTTATGCAAAACTAAGCACAAATTAGTAGTAAAGACATATAATTGCCGCTGAAGGTTTGATCTCTCTACTCCCAACTCCCAACTCCCACGTTTTATAAACAATTATAAGGTTTACAACATAATATACCATTTTAATCTTACTCTAAATTTTGCTATAAAGTTAAATATTAAAACCTAGTGTAAAATAAAATGAATTAATTTACCTTGTCATTTTTGTTGTTTGTTAGTACAACAAACATACGAGGATAGTAGTTCGAACCCACGATTTTTTGTTTCAATTAGTTGAGTTATGTTCAAATTGGTGATTTATTCTACTATTAGGTAGTTAAATTGTGACAAATATTTGTCAAATTTATCAATAAACCATCTAATTTATTTTGTTTGAGTATAATATGTGGGAGTGAAAATTTGAACTCATAATCTTTTAGTCGAAAATATATTAAATAACCACTTATTCAAGTGAGTAAAAATCACATTATTAATAAATGAAAGAACAACAAATACTATACTTGCAAAAAAATAAAAACAAAACGAAAACAGTAAATGTAAACATTAATAAGCCACCGTAAACTTAGCTCAACGTTTAATGGTAAGCACAATTGTTGGAATAAAAAAAAATTACAAATACAAATAAATTTAAAAAAAAAGGATAAAAACTGTTCAAGTAATGAAAGGCCACTTTATATTTCAAAATATCTGAATGGGCCACATGTCGATGATGTAGACCCAAATTCCAATCCAGTTATCTTAAATATTTATTGGATGAGCGTCGAAACTTCACATCAAGGAACAAGAGTATTCGAAAATGAAATGCCTGAAAAAAAAAAGTATTTCAGAATAAAATATCTGTCCTTGATTTTTTTGTGCAAATTGTTTAAATCGTTATATTTTCATTTTAGCAACTTTGACAAGTTTTTTTTTTAGATAATTACCAGATTCAAACATAATTATCATATATAATTTTTAAATTTTTAAAGAAAAATACAAGGTTCTTTAAAAAATTCCCTTTTTTTTTTTAATTTCATTTTTGCAAAGGATTTAAAAATTCCGATCCTTTGGTAATT